CGAATTTCATTCCTGAATACAGTCGACATACGCAAGGTCATCGGAATCATATGGTTCGGGCTTTTTTTTTTTTTTTTTTTTTGTACATCATCTACTCTTACGTTTTTCGCTGCAGACGTGTGCTTTTTTACTATGATGTTTATTATTTTATTTTTTTTTTTTTTTTACAACTCCGAAGTATCAACCATAGCACTTTTTCCGAAAGGAAATTTTCCTGGAATAGTACTTTAAGAGGAAGATCGTTTGATTTTCCTAGAGGTTTTCACAATAAATGGAAAAGATCGGGACAATTAACGAAAACAATTATTATTACTTACATTATTTTCAATTTTGCTTTTTTTTATTGTAATTCACTGAAAAATATTCGTAGATACTTGAAATTTCGACACAAACCAACCTTTTCTAAACGTGGTAATATTTTTAAAAAAACTCGAGCAATGGCATATTATGGTAAAATAATTATATTGTATCAATTATATATTTTCAACATTTTCATCAATAATACTTGTATAACATTGTACTTATTTCTCCGCTATTTCCCGATTTTTACAATTTATTGAGATAACTCCTGAGAAAATCAAAAATTGACATCCTCAAAGTATCTCCTCGGTTAGTACTACATATACACGAATGCATATCCCAATATTCCCATTGCGTATATACTAACGCTGACATTATCCGTGACGCAAGTAGGATGTGCCAGGAGTAATTCTAAGTTGAAATATATAAACAACTACTCGAGAAATACGCTGGGCCAAGAAGTTTTTGAAAGTTTAATGCAGTTGAAAGTTGAAAAATATTTACTGAACACAATTGATTCAAATGACGTGATCGAGAAATTGGCTGCTTGGAGTAGTACATTTGAAAAATTGTCATAATTTTAATAAATATATTTTTCTAAAATTTACCGTGTAGTATATAAATACAGACATACCATTGCATTGTAGAAAGAATTGTGAGCGAAGCGACCGTTTTTTTTTTTTTTTATACATAATATATAATATTATGCCCTAGTTATGCGTGGCTCTGATAAATATATCCCGGGGAAAAAAAAAAAAAAAGTACTTGTCCGCCGCCTACAATCTACATGGTGCACTCCGATGACATTGTACTGTCAATAACTACTGTTTTCCATTGAGGTCGGTATTGAAAACGTTAAAATACCGTATCGTTTGAGATTTTCTATGTAAACCATGTAATCGGCAGAGACGTTTCAATGATAAAAAATTGTTATTCACGAAGTATGTGTAACGCCAAAGTCGTGACAGCACAGGACGGGCGGTGGTGGGGGAAATATCATTCCGAACTGAACTCTGTTTATTCGCGGGTTCGAGAGTTTTTTAATTGTTCGGGTATTATTGCGTGTTCAATTTCCCGTCCCGCCCCGCCCCCGTTCCCTTTCGTTCTCGCACAAATGGAAACGTCAAAAAACGCAGCCGAAATAGAAAGTTTAGTATTAATCATATTACGCACACTTATCTGCACGTTGTCAGACGTACGGACGTACGTGTTTTTTTTTTATACTTCATTTACCACTCGAAAACTCTCGACATAAAGTCCACATATATTATTATTATTGTTTAGATAAGAGGAAGTCGCCGATCTAAGTACACGAAAAGCGTCGCCGTTGAAGACGCGTTATGAATCATCACGGTTTCAGATTGAATTTATAAATAATGAGATCGCATACGTAAAAAAAAAAAAAAAAAAATAACGATAACAATATATCCTGTTAGATATTTCGCGAACCGAAATGATTTTTTTTTTTTTTTGTTTTTTTTTTTATGTACGCGCTCTCGTCGAAACAGCGTACGCGGGTACAATAGCCGGGCAGGCAGGTAGCTCGTGCACGCGTTTCGTTTTTATTCATCATCGGACAATTTTCCGAAACTAAAAATAAACGTTACGGCGCACGCACTTGTGTAGGAAAATTTAAATTTTTAAAATGCGTAGCTACTATATGATATACCCCCACTGTATATTATTATTATAATGCGTATTTTATATATTATTATTTTAAGTATTTTTTTTTTTTTTTTTTTTAATTTGCATAATACACATAAAGCGGATACACTTTGTTAGTTTTAAGGGAATTAAAAAATATTAAATTTAATTTTTCATTTTAAATTAATGAAAAGGTACTACTATATAATAATGTACGTTTCAACCGTATATTATATTTTTATAACGCATAGTATCGCGTATACGCACAAAGACATTTTTCTATACAATTATTTTAAACAATTCCGAATATCCGATGCCACGAACATAATATTAATATAATATTATAATATTTCATTACTTTAATGAGACATTCGTATTTTAAAAACTACCTACGTTCATTTTTTTTTTTTTTTTTAATTAAAAGAAATCGTTTAGCGAACTTTTTTTTAATATTATTATTTTTTAATAACACAATGTTCCTCGTCGCGAGTTTTCCTTGTTAAGGGCATGACGGCGTACTACGCGCTTTAGCAGTCGATTCGGTCGTAAAAGCCGGACAAAACTGTCTAAAACTGCGTTTGCCGGATTTCGATTCCGAAAACGAATTATGATCGTTCAGGTTGCTTAACAGTGTAGACTGCACGCGTTTCACGTGAAAATTTAATTATTTTTAAAAACCGATTTTATTGTGTGTGTGTGTGTGTTTTTTTTTTTTTCAAAACGTACCTAGTGTTTTCCAAATTTTACCGACGAGTTGGAGTGAATATTGAAATTTTTTAAAAAAAATCCCCCTTATCCCGGCAATGAAATTAAAGAATCGAAATACATTTTGGAAGATTGTACTCCGTCGAACCCAATTCTCTACTGTTTTGAACGGATTTTCGTTCTGGATTCATAAACGTCGTATTCGTTCGTTAAAACTGCCGTACTCCTGGCTTAAACGGGAATCGGGCAGCAGACTATCGGAAATGTCTCGTTGTCGTCAGTGGTCATGAAAATGTAAAGACAATTTATCGAACAAAATGTACGTGTACAAGTACGGAATTGACGAACATTTTTAAAACCTATCAAAGAAATAAAAAAAAAATAATAAATGTATCGAGATAAGAAGCAACTGTAGTTTCACTAAGATGTGTGTATGTGTGTGTGTATGCGAGTGTTTGTTTTCCCGGAAAACGAATTCCAGATTCGCAACAATGTTTCGATCCAAATTAAAAACCCAACAGCAAATATGTCGATACGTCGTGGTTGTTTTTTTTTTATCGTAATGATTTATCGTCAACTATTGCATATATAAATATACTGTATAACACTATATATATCTTGTATTTAAGTACCTTTCAAACTAACCGCATGCAACTGCAACGGTGGTCTGCACACGGTGCAAAGTATACCTACCTTTAAATTTAACGGTCCCCCGTCGAAACGCCAATCGAAATACAATACTAGATTCCGACCAGTTGCACCGCCCCCGTAAACGTTCGTTATTTATTCCCGGACGGCCGAAAAATTCAGAGAAAAATCATTATGAAACCATTTGTTCAGAATCATAACGATTAACGTGCGTAATTATATGGCGTTGTGTATGCGTTTTGAGTGCAAACGGTTTTCAAATTTTCGTTTTCTTTTGTAGAGGAATTATTGAGAATTACGAAAAAAGTAATAAAAATTAAGCACCGGGATGTAATAAATTTACCAAACCTCGACGCGCGGAATGTCGGCAAATACAGGAGAATTATTTTTTTCTTTTTCAAGAAGAAAATAACACACCTAAGTTGAACACTTATAACCTCTTTGCTACTACCATTCAGAAGCTAAAATATACAGAATATTATTACATATTATAAAAAAAAATTATATACAAATATGGCATTTAAAAATTGACAGTTTCAGAACACAACGTTTTTAAGTGGTAATAAATAAAATTACAACCATACGATAAATAAATAATACAGTTATACTAAGTCATGTTTTTATTTCTGGTTCCGGTGATACTGTCCCGCTGCCGTCCGCCACTCGAAAATGTGGCAACAAGTCTGCCTCCAAAAACGACCAGACAAATAATATATTACTGTCAAGTGTGCTCTCAAAAATCCTCAATGATTTTCAACTTTTTTTTTATTTACCCGTGGTGTTCATTGAAGACGAGCCGTTGGGATTTTTTGCCATGGCGTTTATAAAACGATTTCTGAGACAATGCAAAAAGATTGCGACGACGATAGCCGGCAGTCTTTTTACTATCATTTTTATTATTTATATTTTTAATTAATCAAGTATATTTTAAATCGCCGCCGAGTCTTTTAATATTATTTCACAGAGCGATTCGAGAAACATATATTTATAAAAAATAACTGAACAAGTTTAGTCGCACCTACTGGCCAATATTATAATACCGTACACCGTTTCTCGTTCGCCCCTTTTTCCCAACCATTTAGAAGAGGGAGCTGACCCTCAAATAATTGTTCGTATGCAGTTGTTAACCGTTGCGCACGGATGTACATTAAATTTCCCCTCCGCCTTCTTAACGTCTCACTTACAACAGTGGCCCACCCATCGTGCGGAGTATGTCCGTCTTTTTTGATTAGCCAGTTGTAAATCACAATTTAAACTCCGCCGTGAACTAACCTAACGTAGATTGTCGAAATATTTGTACGGCTACTCGTTTGACTACTTATAAATCCTAAATGCGCCACTTGTATACGGAACGTGTTTTACGTACATTATTAATTATCATTGAATATCAACGCGAAAATTATACGAAAAACTAATGTTTTGGTTATTTTCGAACTCGATGTTGAATCGGACGCAAATTTAATCAGTAACCTTTATCGTACACTTTACCATCACTTACAGTACTGTAAGCACACGCGTCTGTATGTGCTGTCGAAATGGTTCACTACTTACCTGTCCGATCCCATTTCGAATAATGCGTCCGTTGATCAATACCGTTCGATTACCGTGCGGTATACCGTACGCGTACGGCCGATTCGACCGTCCTCATATTTTTTTTGTAATACAAAAAATAAAAAAAGAGGTACATTTTTTTTTTTTAGTTAAAATAAATTACTAATATTCAACTTGGATTTAAAATACGGACACGCTTCGATGACTGTAGGATAATGTTAATGAAATGCATTCACTATGTGTTATTAATGTATTTTTTTTTTTTTTATTGCAAGTACGAAAATTGCAATGTACACGTAAAAAAAAAAAAATATTAAAAACCATTGAGAATATTATTCCTTTGAACTATATTATTATGGTTTGAAATGTCTACGAGCAAATATTATACGGTATTATTTTTTTTTTTTGAAAAATGTCCACATTTTATACTACGTCGGGTACTGTAATGTTATTTAAGGGATAAAAAAAGATTTGGAAAACTCCCGGGAGTGCGGAATCGGCTGTAAATAGTATACTGCAGGATAATGATAGTTGAGACGATTCGGCGATGGGCGCGAAAACTCTTGGAAAGTAATAAAGTCCGGAAGCAGAAGAGGAAGAATTGTTGGTGACAAAACCGTGAGCCCGTGTTGTAAGTGGCGAGGCGAGCATTTTCAAAATCAGGAACAAAATATAATTTGTACCATTTTTAATATGCACGCGGAAAAGGCAAACATAAGTACTAACTGTAGGAAAATGGAAAAACCAGGCGCCGTTATCAATTTTTTTATTATTTGTTGATTTCAGGTTTCAGTAATTGTAAATTGTCTCGGAAATTTAAAACATTTTAATGCATTACTGTTTTTCAATAGCTGATCAATACACCGCGTTTTAAGATTTGTAAAAATGGTAATTATAATAAACTGGTTGCGGGTTCGTTTCAAAATGAGTTGGGACACGTCTTAGTATTGTGTGCGAATGAAAAAATTGACCGACCGACACTTTAGCGTACAACCTGGACCACCGTGTCTAGAAATTTGAACGTTTTGCGCGAACGCGGTCCCTTATACAATTTAGACAATCGTAACGAGAGGATTTTTCAAAATTCAACCCCCAAGCGGCGCAAAAATGGTGTCGAAGTTTGTTTACAATACGAACGGCTGGGTGTAGAAACTCGAAATTTCGCACAGCGGTTTCTTATACGACTTGTACAGGGGACCGCCGTAAGAAAAGTCCTTTTTCGAAAGTCCACTATTAAGAGGTTTAACAGGAGTTAAAATACATTATGTTTGAAAGTTTAATAACCCAAAACTGTGTGTTTGTGTGCGTGCGGGGAATTTACCGGTGAACAGTCGAACGCGTTTTTGGCCGATGTCAGAACCGTAACCCCCCGGGGAGTTGAAAATAGGTGTCAAAGTTACACGAAGACAAATTTACAATGCGCTTAATAACCCGAAACCCCGGGCAAACAATCTCAATCGAGTGTTGAAAACGGGTGTCGAAAATTAGAGTGGAAAAATAACACCGCGCGACCCCGATCGGAACGACGACGGCGTCGCGCAACGTAAACGGCGGACGATTTCGGTTCCCCGCGCGCGCGTGTGACCGAACGCCCCGCGGACAGGTAAAATACATTGCGGCGGAGCGGCGGTACGAACGGTACGACCGGCGGAAGACCGTCGGCCGTGCCATAGATGACCGTGGCCGACGAGAACAGTTTAAAACAGGACATCTGTTATTATTATTCCGGCCGTGATAGCACTCCCGGGGCGTGTATTCGCATTCGCATCCGCGTCGACAAACTACTCGCCATTCGTAACACCCCGGTCCCCGGGCCGGACTTGCACGACGGGCGAACTGAGCGTCGCTTACGCTCCCCGAAAGTATACGACGCGAAAACGGTCGAGATTCACGGAAACCGAACGCACGTGATTTAGAATTACCGCGGGCCGTTCACCCGTCGTCCGTCGTGGAAAAAAAAAATTCGCTACTGGCGAACGACGATAATGTTCGGTCTGTTTACGGTTGTCGTTCCGTCCGGCGTACGTTTTGGCGACGGACCGTTCGTCGATTTGTGTCCTATCGGTTAGAGATTGAAAACTCCCGGAAAAATCAAAATACGAAAAACGGGTAAAAGCGCGGGCGAAGAAAAATAAAACGAGCATTAGAAAAACGATAGGTAAACGAACGTAATGTTCATTTAACCTTTTTTAGTGTTATCAATCGATGTTGCCGAAGTTTTCCCAAAACGGGATTCGACGGTGTAATGCGGTCGGTATGAAAATATGTATATTAATAGTCGGTTTACGGTTTTCAGTAATAAAAACACGGGCTTTTAACAAAAAAAATTTAATCGTTCGTTACGTTTCCATCACAAAAATCCGACTTCAAATGCGAGCCGGGTGTGCGCGGACAACGGTTACGTTGTTACGGGTATTGTGACGACTCGAAATCTCGCAGTACTTTATACCGTTAGTTCGCAACGCGTTTTTGTCGTTATTGTAACCGTGGTCCACAGCCGCCGACCGCGTCAAATGATCATTGACAACCTATTCGGTCTCCGGGCGAGCTTCAGAAGCGTTTCGTCCGACTGGTTCGCCGACGGCATACGCGGCCCGCTAAGAAATAAAAAAAAAGGCGGGAAAAAAGAATGCGATCGGGCCGGGGGTCCGAACGCCGGCCGATAGCCGCGCCGGCCGCGGTTGACGTCCGGCCGACGAAAACCGACGGGACGTCGCTCGGATCGCGCGGTAACGGGAACGGTAACGGTAACCGGCAACCGCGTGCCGCGCGCACCGACGGAACGTCGCTCGGATCGCGCGCGCGCGGCGGGACGGAGGGGTAGGGGGGTGGTGGGGCGGCCGGGGGGGGGGGGGGGGGGGGGGGGGGGGGGGCGAAACCCCGCGGTCGTCGGTCGGCGCGATTACCCGGCGCCGGTAACAATTCGACGTGCGCCAAACGCGCCCGAACGCTCGCGTTTCGCAGGCGGCCCGCGGACCGCGGCGGATATTACGGCCGGCCGGCCGCCGCCGCCGCTTCGCCCCTTCCCCCATCGCCCATCGCGCGCGCCGTACGCCGCGACTAATAATTTTCAATAGTTATCCCGTTCTCGGTGGCGCCCGGACGGCAGCCCGTTAATTCCGTTCCGCGGCGCATATATTACGCGCGCCTTATACATTATTATTGTCGTAGCGCGCGCGTGCGCGTCACGTTACACGTATATAAGTATATACGTATATATATATATACATATACATATATACATATATACATATATATACATATATATATACGTACTCTTCGCGGAACCGCGGCCGCGTAACAAATGCGTTTCCCCCGGTCCGGCAATACGTTCGCCCGTAACAACGCGCGCCGGGCGCCCGCGTACGCCGGGCCGCGCATATAATAAATCCGAAACGAGACGTACGCGACCCGGTGCGTCTCGCGGCCGCGCCCCGGCCAACCCCCCAACCCCCCCTACCTACCCATTCGCACCTACCCCCGCCGCGCCGCTTTTGAATTATGAATGTTCGACCCCGGAAGAAGGATTGAAAAATTATGTCCTCCCCCCCTGTCCCTCCACGCGCGTAACCCGTCGGCGGCGGCGGCACCGTACGCGTCCCGCTCGCGCACAGTGGCGTCCGACTCCGTACTGGCAGGTGCGCGAACGAACGTGTTCGCGGGTCGCGGCCCTGCGGGACCGTATCATTTGCCCGACGTCGTTCGGTCCGGTCCGTATTGTTACGGGTTACGGACAACGCAAATACGGGACCCGGGACACGGGAGATAGCGGCCGGCGCGGCCTCGTACGTTCATTGTTCCAACATCGTTTACCCGGATTTATTACGGAGTTTTTAACCTCGGTTTTTTTTTTTTTTTTTGAAGGGGGAGGGAAATTGATTCGTTTTTAAAGCGCGCCGTATTATCGCGAAAACGGCGGTTAAAAAAATACCGGCGTCGTAATGGTTACAACGCCGATGATCCAGTCTCCCCGCCGGATTTCAATGCAAAATGAATCGTTTTTCTTTTTTTCACTCGAGGTAACCTTCATAGATAACTCCGACTACCGGGTACATAGTATTCGTACGGCGCATCCGACACTTTAAACGCAAAAAGCATTTGTTTAGCGTTTGCCGGTGCTTTTCATTTGATGCGCGTTCTCTTGTATATATTATCATACGAGTCGGTTATTCAGACAATTTACATTAGCTAAACGTTATCGAAAGTTAAAAAGTGTTCTTGATGTTTCGGCCAGCAGGAAAATTTTAAAGGTAAAATAGATAAACGTATAATTTAACGTAATATATATTGAATGAAAAATGCATCCCTAAAAGTTATACTGTTTTTAAGATATTCGGGGTATATTTTTTTTTTCGCAATAAAATAAACATTTTAAACTTCCTAATAAAAACGATAAATAAAAAAAATGTATTAGTTCATTTTTTAAAGGCATTTTTGCGGTAAAAAGCGTTATTTTATTTTATTATTTTTTTATGGTATTTTTTGGCTATTTTTTGACGGGTATTTTAGTGCATTTTAAATCCGGGCACGTTGTAATAAATGGTTTCTACGGCGCCGAGAACTGCAGCGATGATAAAAACACTCGAGTTGATGAGACGCTGAAACTTTAGACTGCGGTTATACTTTCAACGGAATCGTTTGTTCGGAGTGTAAGTAACTGTATTCTTGTTAGGGCGGTTAGTAAGTAATACAAGTCGAATTAACAACAAAATAATGGCCGGGTAGGGTATAGGTATAGGTATAAGTACCGATCGCATACAAAAAACTACGCTGGAAAGTTGTGCGGTACATAAATTAGTTTAAGTAAAACAACGTGGCCCAAAGTATCGAAAGCTGAATGTTTATAAATAATTAACGGCGAGGATGTGTTCGAAAGCGCTGTTAATTTTCGTTTGTTTTAATTGAGTTTAACCAAACGGAATAGGTATAGGACGCGCAGGCTTAAACTTTTAAATGTAATATAAACCGTATAACTGCGTCGAAAACCTTTCTGTGCGTCGTTTCCCGTGCCAATTCAATTCCTCTAAATTTTTATTTTTTGAACATTTCAAGCAGATTTTTTCATAAAAATTCTTTCAAAAGTTGAAATGAATAATTCAATTTATCCCCTGTCACCATTTATTATTATTCCGCCCTCGCCATCAAGGTAAACCGCCCATCACCCATCCCTTCCCGAAAATTCAATACATTTTCGTACCATAATACCGAAAATCCCGTCTGAAACTCCCACGTGTGATAACACACTGACACGCAAACGCTTTCTTTTTATTGCCTATTGATTATTGCGTTAAACATTAATTAAAATTTCGCTTAATAATGTAAAGACAAACGAAACCGAGATACACGCTATGCAAGGCGTGTTTTCATCGCGGTTTTTATGTGAAAAAAAAAAAAGAACCGCGGTACGAAAATTCCTAATAAAATGGCGGCGAAATATAAATATGGAAACAAGGCGCGCAAATTGTGTTGAAAACTCTGAACGAAATATGTTATCGTAATCGAAAAAAATGTAAAAATACTCTAATGTATTATAGTGTACGCATTAGGGTGGACCGAATGCTATAGAAAATACGAAAAAACTACTTAAATCCGGAAATTAATCTCCGGAACGTAATATTCCAGAAAAATATCAACGGTTTCTTAATTAATTCTATGCGTATAAAATGAGGTACGATTGAAAACTCGCGAACTGACCAAATAATCGAGGAGGGTGTGGGTTTTCTATTTATGCGGAAAATGGGTCGTGAAATTCGGTGAGAGAAAAAGTGTTTAAAATAAGAAACGACGTTCTGGATCCGAAATTTTTAGAAACCATTGGTTTTATCATAATTCCGGAATTCTACAATATATTTCTGGAATTCGATTATTATCGCCCGGAAAGTTGCTGACCCGAATATTACGTTCTGGATTTTAAAATTCCGGGTGTTCATCAACCCGGATGATTACATTCCGGAAAATTATGGTCTCCAGAAAAAAAACAAATGTTTCAAACGCGAGCGGCCAATTAAGGTGGACAACAAGATTTTCACGTAATGTGCGTAAGGTCAGTCAAATTCGACGGTATTGTTGTTACGCCTGCACGAATAGCTGCGCGTACAGGTCGGATCGGTCGAAATCGACGTTGAAGTGCTCCTAGGGAGCCGTCGTAAACGAAAACGCCGACAGCGCGCACGGGAATAATTACGTTCAGACCACAAAAAAATCATTGACCAACGGTAATTATCAACCGATTACGAGTACACAACTGTTTATGTATCTGATAAAAAAAAAAAAAATCGCAAAACTAGGCGTACCCGAGAGAAGAAACGGGCGGGCGTTAAGAGAAAAGGAAAAAAAAAAAAAAACAACCGTTCCGTCCGTAACGTTTTTCGCACACGGTATAATATTATGGTCCCGCACGAACGCTTTTAAACCGAATCGAGAATCCCTCGCGGAATCGATTATTTTCATCCGCGAAAAAAACGAAAGTACCCACGTGTGCGCATACGAGTTCGCCGGGATCGCATTATAATAACGTATTATTTTACGTTTCCGGGCAAATGTACACGCCTATATTTCGTGGCGTCCCCGGCGAGAAACCGCGCGTTTCGACAAAAACGGATGTCGATAATTGATCGGATCTCGCGTCGAAACCGCTACACTGTCGGAAATCGCGAATAGATTGTTAACAGATCACGGATGTTTATTTATTTTGTGAATTCGTGTGCGGTATTGACGTTTTTTCGTTATTATTATTATTATTTTTTTATTTTTCAATTCGGACTCGGTCGTCTTCGCGTATTCGTGACACAAAAACGCACATGATATTGTACGACCGCTACGTCAAAGTGAAAACCCGATACCGACGGTCGGACAGACACGGGAGACCGTTACTTAATCGCGGCGTATTCGATTATTGAAGGTGCCGAATTTTCGGGTGCCGGTGTTAATTTATTCGAAATACTTCCGAACAATTTTCAACGGGTCGCCCATCGGTCGTTTATTTTACTTTTGGATTTTCGTCTTCTCAAAAACACTCCGCCGATCATCGTACACCTTGAAAAGTGCGTATATTTCGACAGGTGGTATTTTATTTCGACGATTTTTCCTATCGCAAATCTTGCTCCGATCAAAAAATGAATATAAGCTCCGTTCTCGTAGACTTTCGAATCTCGTTTGTACATTTTGCACGTCACTTTAAATATCATGAGGAGCAATTATAATATTAAATTGAGGAACATATAGAAAAAACGGACAGATTTACGTTCGTAAAAGTTTCGATATAATTTTGTTTTTTTTTTTTTTTTTATATTCACGGAATACTTAGGTTAGCTTCTTCTAGACGTCCTAAAATTTTCAAAATAATCGGGTGATTTTTTATGTTTTTTATAAGCGTTTGAGTTTATCGAATTGTATTAGTTTTTATTTGGTCGTATGTAGAGAAAATTGTTTTGGCTGATCAAAAGCGGTATAAATTAATCGTAAGTTGAATAGTTGAATTAATAAATTGTTTCAAACTTCATAGGACGTTTGCCGTACATGGAAAATGCATAGATCGAAATTCTTTACACGGTAAAAAAAAAAAAAAATTCTACCGTTATGTTAATGGAAATTTTATTTCATAAGAACTTTAAGTACGCAGTTTCATAAAACTAGTATCATAAAACTCGTGGCGTTTTAAATACGTTTAACCATATCACGCTCAGAATAGTATTCCGTTAGCAATGATTTATCGTTGCATACATATAGAATTTAAATACCGCTAATATGTAGTATTCTATCGTTTCAACGTCCCTTCGAAAACAACGGGAAACCTATTAACTGTATCACATTTATTTTGTACATCTGTTTAGTTGTGTAATCTTCAAATATATTGTCACAATTTGTCATAAAATTAAAAAAAAAACCGTTTCCAATAATTTTTATTATTATTATTGCCGGTTATTCAAATGAGCTGAGACGTTTTTACACCATACGAATACAATAATAGTGTAAGGTTTTCATCAGTTTGGTTTTTTTCCATTTTTTTTTTTCTAAGTATAATATAAAAGAAACTTTTTCCCTTATTTTAAATTGAATTTTAAAAGAATTCATTTTTTCCCCAACTTTATCCTCAAGTCATAGTTTGAAAATATTACACATTTCGTCGAACAAATTTTAGTAACCTTATAAGGGTTTTGGATATAGCTGCTGTTTCCTGAGTTGTCTTTTAATTTTATTTTAGTGACACTTATATCGTAATAAAATATATTTTCTGTTAAAGTTTTACGTTTTTTTTACGAATATTTCACTCCGCTCTCTATTAAAACCGTTTTAAAATTAAAAAAAAAAAAAAACCACGAACGCCATAAATTTAATTTTGTTTGTTGGAAAATCTAAAAATTATAACCGCAATTTATGTGTTGTGAAAACAATTTTCGTAAGTTTTAATAACATAATTTATAAGGTATCGTGATTCTAAACGAGATAATAACCGTATGGATAAAACCACTTTTCAATTATATCAATATTGAATACCCGGTTCATTCGCATTACAAATCTTTTATTTACAGTTCCCGATAAATTTATTTTTAGGCGAAATAAAAACACGGTTAAAAAATCAACAGAGTTCGGGTGATTTAAAGGGGAAAAAAGGACGGGCATCCATCGCACGTTGGTGCTGCCACTGTTATAGGTGGGAAGCTGGGAAGTTAGGATACAGACGGGAATTTCGTGTATATCCGTAAGTAACGATAAACACGAGGAATGTTCAGTTGATAGTGTTGCCTTGTCAACAATAAATATATTTCATATTAGGGTAAAATGATTACGACAATGTGCGTTTCCGTGACAACAATGATTGTTTGAAAAAGATTAAAATAATAAAAACTCACAACAAAAAATAAATAAAAACAGTTTCCGATGACAACCTGATTTTTAATCATTTGTTCTTTTTTTAACCTAAAGAACCAAGTTTTTCGCATTATCACGAATATTAATGAGAATTTCAAAAAATAATCTCTTTAAAATACCGTCCGTAGCACATTTCCTTACAGAAAAATTACTACACTCCAATACCAGAGTAAGCTTACCGGTAGAAAAATTGTTCACATAAAAAATAATAAAATAAATATTTTTGTAAAACTAAAAAATGTTTCGCTTAACTCAGAATCTAAAAGAAAAACAATTTTATTAGAATTCTAAATTTGTATACGTTCCTGGCAATGTTGATAATCCGGTATTATATTCATGATGCCAAGTTAAGAACAATGCAAAAAAACACCAGGAAATATACACAATTATTATAATGGCGAAGTGTTGTGAACAACGCCCACAGTAAATTAGGCAATAAAAAAGATACGGAATTGTGTATCTTACCTATGTATTATCAATATAAAAACATAAAATAATACACGGAATGGTGATTCCAGATTAAAATAACTTATCATTAGGGTGCGGATTATAATGCAAATTGCATTTTTTTTTTTTCTGAATTTTCTAAAACTGCAATTGTTTTCCAGGCACATAAATCTTTCCACATGTCAAAGAATTAAAATATAAAAACTTTTATTTTGCATTTTTTGTCATTTTATGTGCGTTTTTAGATTTTCAAAATATTTTTTCTTCTTTTTAAAAACTTCCTAATTTTATCAGAAAATTTGATAAAATTTATATTGATTTCTTCCTAAACGAAAAAAAGAATCCGACAATCGGACAAAGGCAATCGTATTGCACTATTTGCACTATTGAGCGTTGTGTGAAGTAAATTTATATACCTAAAAAAAAAAATAAAAAAATGTTTTTTTTTTTCATTGTTTAAAATAATTTTTAGAGCATTTTTTTTAAGGCATCTTAGACATTACTTATTTTAACCTGGAATCAACCCTCGATTTGTTGTGCAAAATCACGTCGGGTAAGTAACGGGAGAAAAGTCGAAACGTTTATAAGTGAAACTACAGACATGGTTTTTCCTTTATCCAGAATAAATTCGGCGTTTCATAAAATGCCCAGGAATCACGTAAAATGCCTAGGTTCTATTTGAAATAATTGTCTACATTACGCGTTTTCTCAATATTGCCCGAAACCAGTCGGTATGTATAATGCCTAGATATAGTGCGAAATTACTAAATTGCCAATATTTCCGATACCGTATTATAAACGTTTAACAATCAGATTTGAACATTTTGTCGGTCTTAACATTTGTTTGTATTTTGTTTTGATAATTTCATCATTTCCCGGTATTACGTTCACTTTTGATCGTGTAATTGGATTCGATCCGTTGTTGTTACAGTACGTTCTACAATTTTGTAAAAATAAAAAAAAAATAAATAAAATAATAATCCCGAAAACGCGTAGTAAAAATAACAAATCGGACGCGATCGCCGTTCGTCGAACTCCGTGGGAATACCGTACAGGTGTTTCGAGTGTGATGCCCAATTCGCACGACACCAATAACTGCGCGGTTCTTTATTTTTTTTTGTATATACGTAAAAATAATTTCTATTTTTTTCGGGCCAGCGCTTTTCGGGGATAGTGAACAACTATGGTTACTCGCGAAACATAATAATAATGTGTCGCGTACGCATCTTTCGCGGGCGTGTGCGGATATGGGCGACGGGTAAACCTATTTTGAAGGTATCGGAACGAAAACGATATTTTGCGCGGGCGGTCGTATTTTGTGTCGTCGTACTACGTCCCGAGCGCGCGAACCGAACGCCGGGCTCGCGCGTAATTGTCGAATATAATAAATATAAATATAAATATAAAAAAAAAAAAAAAAAATCGTTTTGTTCCGAGTATGAATATGATTACGATTGTATCGTTAAAAAAATACGCCGCGCCGAAATGAACCGCGAGTGCAAACACCCGATCGGTCCGTCGGATTTTATAATATATACCTGCATATACAAATGTGTGTGTGTGTTTTTTTTTTTTTTTTTTTTAGTACGCCGTTTCGATTGTTTCGCACGATTTCTCGTATTTTGACCGGTCCTCGTCTGCGTAATGGATCGCCCGGAACGCAAAACGGTTTAGTGACTCGAACGGTAATCGCGGTGTAAAACGAGGCACAGTTTATAGGCACATTAGATTCGCGTTGACGGCAGCGACCACGGTCGAATAAAAAACCAAAAAATAAATAATATACCGGAATTGTTTTCAAACAATATACACGCATACTGTACGGCTGCACGGCTCGTTCTGATAATTCGTACGATTAAATCCACTAGCGGTGAATTTGACCCGGGAGTTTTACGGACTTCGGTCGGTTTAAATCCGAGACGAAGAACCGCCGCGCCCGGTGAACGCGTCGCGCCTTCGGTTCCAGCGAGAATTCGTTGGTTTTTTTCCGCGTTAAATCAGCAACGGTTTTTCACACGCGCCGTGTCTGATTGAAGATCCGGATTTCCCTGCCACCCGGCAGTGTTTCCACTTTGTTTTCTAGAGTCTCGACGGTTTTTACCGTCAACGAATATACTTTGAGAAAAACCTATGACCGACGAAATCACGATATAATACGCGGGTTTTATTATTCGCCGTTGTCCGGGTCGCGGGTACACGACTACACGGGGGGAAAAACACGTCTGATAATACCGTCAATAGTTTTTTCGGATTACCGAGCTGTTGCCGCCAATATTAACAATCGTTTTTCGATGCGTAATTGAGGCGCCCGTATAGAACGCAACGGTAGTAAGTGACATTTTTACCGGTTTCGAGAGAATCGCGTTTAAAGTCGTTCGTGTTTGATATCATAACACATTATCATATTATCATCGCCGTTGTTGTATTCCAACGGCGAAAACGGGTTCTAGACACCCGGCGGTAAAACGACGTGTGCATGTTAACGGCCGCCGTGGCCGCTCGTACTCGTTATTTGCTCGTGATCTTTTTAATGGCGTTGTCGTTTGAAAACTATTCCAGTGCGATACCGGACCGAGGCGCGCGACGGCGATTTCTCTGCTATACGGAATCGAATAGAAAACAATTACTGCAGTACAGCCGCCGCGCACGCAAAACGGTTTTTTTTTCCTTTTTAAACACGTCACCGGTACCCTCCGCGTTCCGTTGGCGCCTCGTAAATACCATCGAAACATTTCGTGCGACTACGGATTGATTCACACCCTCGGCACACGTCCGACTTCGCGCCTGCGGTGGCCCGCCCGCCCGCGGCGAAGTCTGTCCGGATTTTCACGAGCCCTCGCGTTCGGTCGTCTCGATACCTACGCGGATAAACGGCCAGTGACGTATCGGGGGACGCGCATAACAATCGAAACGAATATTTGCGGACGGCACGCGAAACACGCAGCGGCATTACCGACTGCACCCGAACGCCGTCCCGTATTTCCCCCGCGGCGCCACAACGGTAATCCGAATTCCGTCCCGTTCACCTCCTACCGTATGGTAACAATAAGTACCATTCGTGCTATTCCCGGGCTTGGAACCGGCACCTGTGACGGTACGTATGTTTAAAAGTGTTTTTTTTTTTTTTTTTACATGCTTATTGTTAGAGCGAGAACGTGAAAATAAATAACTGTTTATTTATGCGTGCACACTGGCTGACCTGAAAATGCTTTGCCGTTGCTAGATAACAGTGTAAATAACGACGATAGTGGGCTTTTTGTTCGCGACAACCGAAATTATCGTCTGCATCACCGGGGTAACCGACGAATAATTAAAAGTAAAAAAAAAAAAAATACACTCGCACAAAACAATTGGATATTCGTATTATAAATACCCGAAAATTCCCGATATAATTCACGCGATTCACGTCGAAAGCTATCCTATTTTTTAAGTTGGACCGAATCACACACACACACACATTGAGCATTGTCTTATGAAAAACGGTCGAGTAGTTTCAGAGCGCGTCGCACCTAAACTCGTCGTGCGCGTGATTTTCATACGCGCATGCGTTCATACGGACCGTGTAATGTGCATTTTGTGACTAATTGGAAACGGTAGAACAATCGGGAAAACGAGCGGAAAACTCGCCTTATAATTATTAATGTCTCATAAAAGATGCGAGCGAAACAAATGCCAAGGAAAATCTAACGGAAAAGTCGCACTTTGTAATTACACAAGTTAAGGGAATAAACGTGAAACGAATGCGCATGCACGTACATATATATTATAGTATTTGTTTTACGTACCGGATAATAAGCGAATAAAAACACGATTAAACGTACCCCGGCAAAACTGCCGGCCCGAACGTGAGAATAAAAAAAAAAAAAAAAAACGATATTGTAATAGTTAAATACCAACGGGACGGAATTCGGATGGCCCGCTGCCGGGCGACGGAATTCATATGTTTTAACCCGTCACGAGGAGAGTCGGAATCCGGTAACTGCGGTTTTTCCGTCACGGAACGCAGATATCGGAGAACTCGTACGGTATTGACGGTCTGTTGTTATTCACGGTCGGACCGTACGTTTCGGGGGCCCGGATCAAATTTTTTTTACCGCCGAAAAACCGAGTGACCGCCAACTCATAATGCTATAATCTCATAAATCGTACGTATCGTTTTGTCAATCGCCCCAGATAGCGGTTGGTATTCACGAGTTACGGTATTACGTATACATTTCTGTTATGGAAAAATAACAAAAATCTCGATCGTTATCCTGGAAACCATTCCATGTATTATCAACTGAATAATCCATTTAAATCTCGTTTCGCGTCTAATTTCTATCTGAGTCGTTGCACGTCGTCAACACATCGTACACGGGCACAAATGTTTTGCTCGGCTTTTGGGTTAGATTATTCGTATAACAGTACTCGGGCGCCTAAATCCGACACCATGAATAACAAGGGAATCATCAATTTTCGGTATTGCCAGCAATTAGTCTCCCTATCTGTCTATTAGACACCACCTAACCCCTAATATATGCGGGGATCGTGACGACGGTAAAACTGGCCAAGTTACACCGATTCGGAAAATGTCGCCGGATTCGAAAGTGACAAAGTCGCGCGTTCTCGTCGCTTTGTAACGGCACCTATACGGAGCAGTCGCGATGGCGATAACGGCAACGCAATACGCGTTATCGGTACGCGATAATTACGGGGCAATAGAACGACGGCGACGGTAACAACACCGTGACCCCGAGGGGGTTTAAGACGTCCGCGGCTTCTCGTCTCGCGTTTTCGGGTATACTCCCCCCCCTCCCCCCCCGGTAGACGCGGGACGTCCGTCGTCCGTCCGGTCCGGCGAACGCGCGTTTTCGATCTGCGTCCGCATAACATTAACAATAATAACAGTAACATTAACAATAATAACAGTAATAACATTAACAATAATAACTGTAATAATAATAATAATAATAATATCATCGTTATCGTAACGGACCGGCCGACGTCGTCGCCGTCAGTCGACGTCTCGTTCTCGGCGTATTGCGTTCGCACGTATACACACGGAACGGCACGGAGACGCGGTCGTGAAATCGAAACGCGTTTAACGATCGCCTCCGTCCGCGGCCCGGGGCTCTCGTCATAATCCGCGGCCCGGGGAAACGGGCGCGCGCGCCGCCGCGACACGCGGACGACCGTTCCGTACAACAACAACAACAACAACAATAATAAAGATAATGATAATAATGATGATAATAATAATAACGATAATAACGGTAATTGACAGTAATTCTATACGTACATGCGATTCGACGCGAGCACCGCGAACCGACGTTTTCGGATTACGCGAGCCGCCGTGTCGCGACGGCCTTTCGCCCGCGTTACGGCGTCGTCATTTTACGGAACACAAATCGCCCAATCGAAACGTGTATCGAGAATCCCGATCGCCCGGAAACCGACCGTCGAGGAGCGAAACGGTCGGTAACCCCGGCCTCTGCGACTTCGGCTCCCGGACGGTGTACCGTAAGCGAAGCGCGCGGTACGTTGTCGGCGAACCCCATGTGGAAATCCCGTTCTCCGATTGGCCATTTAATCGCGACGAGATAAAAATGTCACCATCAGCTATCGGTTTGCGAAAAATAAAAAGTGTTTTTTTTTTTTTATTCGAATTTAAAATACCGTTCATAGGACAGCTATTATTACAGTGACATTCGTGTTAGATCGGTTATACGTAACGTATATACGGAAGAAATGTGAAGATAGTTTTGTTCAGGTAGGTTAGGTTAGACGGTGCGTATTAAATTTAATATCAAATTATTATTTCATGATAAAATATCGTTTCATAAATGAATACGTTGTTCCGAATGCTACATGAATTATTTAAATACGATGAACATTAGATGAAAATAAACAAATTACAACATTCTAGATGAACATGACATTCATACGTAATCTTCGTCTTCACAATCTAACTTGTGTGTTGGGAAGACAGGATACGGACGGGAATTTAATATGTATATGTGAGTAACGATAGAACGTTGCTAATGAAAAACGATTCTGAGCAGTGTTCAGTTGATAGGGTTGTTTTGTCAACAATATACGGTGCCATATTATGGTAAAATGATTATAACAATGTTCGTTTCCACGAAAACAATAATTGTTTAAAAAAATGTAAAAAAAAAAAAATAAAACTTAATAAAAACAAAAAATAAATAAAAACGGTTGCCGATGACATCCTTATTTTTAATCTTTCAATCTTTTTTAACCTAAAGAACCAGGTTTTCCGCATTACCTCGGATATTAATGAGAATTTCAAATCAGACCTCTCTAAAGTACCACCCAGAAAATATTTCGTTTCAGAAAAAATGCTGTACATTCTTGATAATCGGAGTAAGCTTTTTCTGACAGAAAAAGTATTCTCATAAAAAAATAAAAATAATAAACATTAATGTAAAACCAATATATTCCTCTCTCCACTCAGAATCTAAACCAAAGTTTATTAGAATTAACTGTCATTCACATCGACAGATAATATTAGTGTTACTGATCAATTTTTAACAATTGTAATAGTTATCGTACAGATACCTAAATAAAAAAAATATATAATAATAACTGATAATCCAACGGGATTGGAATTTTTTCGGACAACTGGCTTTTCATATGGTTCTCTAACTATTTACGATTTGCTTGTATGTTTCCGGGCACATCTATCCGTGTAGAATCTCTATAATAAACTTCTCCGTTTCGATTCGAAAATTTTTTTCTGAAATTCGTTTTTCGTGTTTGGCGATTTAAATGTTTCAGCGTCTTCAGCGATCGGTTTCCCAAAACAATACAACCGGTCTCGATAATATTTGATTAGCCCTCGTGTGTACGAACCCCAGAACAGGCGACTCTTCGGCTGTCCATTCATAAAAACCACGTGGTATTTGCAATTTGCACTCTTATACGTTTTCGAATTGATCGTGCAGAATTTTTGACGTCATACTTTTTGGTTGAAATATTTTTACATTCTCTCTGGAATTAACTTTTGAAATTTCAATAACCTATAAGCGACCTGTATCGGACAAATATTACAGACATGGCATTACTATAAAATTTGTGAATATTGTGATTTACTGTGTTTTATGATTGTACACCCGTTTTGTCTTCGACAATTTTTATAAGACATTTGCCCGACGTACGTCGGTCCGTACGCCTTTGGAGCTTCAAAATTTTTAACGGTAAAAGGGAACAAACAGGGATTGAGAGTACCCGAAACCGCAAATCGTTTCCTGATTTTCAGCTTAATCGCATTCAGTGTTAATAACATTCTTAAACGTATTAAATACTAGAACTAGCATTTAGCAGTCGATGTTTAACGTTGAAACGATGTCGACACGAGTCGATTAATACTCGTAAATTAAAATTGCGTAAAAGTTGTTAGTGTTTTAAAAAAAAACAATAAAAATACTCATACGGAAATAAAAATGACGCATTTGACAAAAATAATGGGTACATTACAATACGCCGAACGACATATTTCAAAGCAACTAAGAAGATAATTTTTTAAAAATTGTGTTTTATTTTCTATGTAACGTTTCCCGATAAATTATGTAAGATTGTGAAAAAAATGTTATGCGATATTAAGTAGTATAAATAAATTATTGCATACGACTCTCTGTACTTTTCAATATTTATGTATTGTTATTATTATTATTATTTTTTTTTTTTTTTTTACCTACCTGTTGTAAACGAACGGTGCGCGAATGATGTACGAGTTTTTGGGACAGGTAAACAAACGGTGCGCAAATGATAGCGTACATTTTTTCAATCGTATGCAAATAACATTAGCGTGGTGCTATAGTTGAACAAGATATCACGTCATTACTTTGCTACTTCGCTACTATATACTAGGCAATAATAACGGCGTACAAGTCTGGAGTACTTGTATCCACATTATTCACTTCAACGAAACCCGTCAATAATATATTGTAATCACATCTCCTTAATTCATCCTGAAACCGGGTAAATACCCACTATCAGACGTGACCACTTTCCCGCGTTACCGAAACGTCTTGGAAACAATATAATAACGACGGTAATATTATTATATAGTTATACTTTATTACGTTATATGTACACGCGTGGTTTATTTTCGCAGGGCAAAATATTCCGTGTGTGTTTTTTTTTTTGTTGTATTTTTTTTTTTTGGTTTACGTTTTTATTTGATTGCACCTCGTCGGTGGTGATGGCGGCGAAGATATTATAGTTTCGAAACGATGCGTGTGCTTTACCCCTCCCTCTCATCTGTCTCTCGCTGTTCCTGCCTCTCTTTCACTTTCTCCCGGAAAACACTTTTCGGGGTAGTAAAACCGCTCGAAAAGTTTCTCGCGCAGCGTGCCGATAGGAAATTGAACCAGGAAAGCGGGCGCCCGGTTATACTATAACCAGGTGGATTTTTCGATATTCTCCATAATATTATATAGTTTTCCTGCAGAGCGTACGGGAAAATTTATGGCATACGGTTCCCTGTTTTAGCGAAATCCTAAAATTACCCCGAGCTCCAAATCGTTTATCGAACGCAATGATTTATCGTTGTTTCGGATATTTTAAACAAAAAACAACTAAAAGAAAAGAAAAACAACAACAACATCCAAAATGCCCAGGTATCCCACGCAAAAAAGTACTTAATTTCTTATACCCATTCGGGCGGACTACACACAACGTATTCCATAGCCCGTTGTTTACTAGACATTATTATTTTTTCGTAACACAGCGTAATATTCAAGGGAGATTGTTTCTTCCCTTTGGATTCACTCGACTACACGCACTTAACACGATTGTTCCCGGTTCGATATTTTCGTTGTAACCGCATGATAACAACAATATTAATATTAGCAACCACAACCGTGAGGTAACCCGAACAATAACACTTATACAAACTCATAACTTAGGTTCGAAATTGATAAAATCGTTAGCGTATATTTTTATTTTTTTTTGACTTGACATTAAAATACAAAATCTAGCGCATTGGAAATGTATGCCACGCTACAATACAATACGCCTTCTAGAGACTTCATATGAACTAGTGGGGTCCAATATTCTTTGAACTAGATTAAAGTTATGCATATAAATATCGGAATTGATAAAATTAAAAAAATTAAAATATGATTTACATAATCGTCATTGAACAAAACGGGTTGGTGATGTCGTTAATCTACCGACGAACTAGGCGAACAATTTGGACAATCCGGTTACTTTCGGTAGTTTCGTTCTGGGCGTGTTTGTCTTTGATGTTACAATATTATCAACATTTTTCTATGGTGTTTTGGTAACTACCTAATGGTTATTTTTAGAGCAATGGACGTACAGCATTTGCATATTTGTTTTTCATTATCAAACGAATAACAGAGTAAGAGACAAATACGTTTTATGCGAAGACAAATCTAGATTTTTAATTATATTTTGCACATAAATGCGTATTTTTTTTTTGGTATTACCATTAAATCTCTTTAGGGCTGCGGTTTTTCTGCCTCATTTATCATCACTAACGTTTAAAAATTGTCAGCAATGAAATAACTTAAATTGTCTTCAATGAGTTTTGTCTCATTCGAATAATGCTATTAGGATAATACAATACATTATAATTATTTGTAAAGTACTCGTGACAATATAATAGTTTTGTCCGCGTATACTAAAGACGGTTCATATAATAGTGACAAGCACAATTGACCGCTCTCTTGTAGTACTTACAATGTTTGACGTTCTGTCTAGCAACTCGTATTGATCGCAGTCGTCTACAACATGGTACCTACGCTTCTTTTATGTTTAATCAGAGACCAAGGGGAGCTGCGTATTCTATTGTTATTATTTTTTTTAAATTAACGCCGTTTATTTGAATTTCTAATTGCTGTAATCACGTTTATCGCCAATACAGACTCGCCACGACCATATTGCGTTTGAGCTGTATAACTCAGTATTGGTAACTTTTTAGCCGATTTGTGGCAATACGAATTGTATAGGTACGTACAACACTTACCTAACGCCTCGCGCGAATTAATCGCACGCGTAAATCCGAACGGTTCGACGTACAGGCCGTTCAATGGCGTGGAACATTCGATTTTGAAATTCGACAGTTTTCCGAACAATCCCTCGCGCCGTAGCCTCCGAGATTTCTATTGAATAAAAGAACAAAAAACAAATCATAACAGAATTCAATCATAACATAATGCATTTACAATGCATTGTATATCATAAATAAAAGCTATAATAAAAAAAAAAAAATATACAACAACAACAACAGAAATGTGATTGAAAAGGCTGTAAATAATTTAAACAATTTATTTAGTGGAAATAAAAACGAACGGTATAAAATAGTTTTACTGTGGGCAGTATTCAAATTTTTCGTTCGAAATTAGTTTGTATTATTTTAACCGCTATATTTTTATGTGAACACAAATCACATTAAAATTACTGTAGTTATTTATTTTACAACTTGAATTTTGTTTATAAAACAAGCATAGTAATAATTTACAAATAGCTACTTCCGAACTGATATTACATCGATCATATTATCTGAAATCCATAGACAGTGAGTAAAATTGTTAAATTTTCTTGTATGTGCCAAGTTTTAATATTATAATATACTTAATGAAATAAAAGAAGAACTCAGATTATAAAAACTAACACACCTCCATGAAAAATCTTGTTTGTTTCTTTTATGATGATTTATGAGGCCATGATTTTATCGTTAGTCTTACGGAAGTTTCGAATCTCACTGGAAACTTACTACGGGCAACTTTTATAAAATTAAAACTACATTGCCTGTTTTTAATTTATAATTATTTTAAATTTAAAATAATGTAAATAAAATAAAATTGATATTATTGACATGGATATTTCAATTTAAATCTTGTGTATATATTGAACTCGTTTCAATGGCGCTGCAATACGATAGTATTTCCCTAATTTATCCTACGAAAACGACAGTAATGTGAGGGGAGATGGAGCTCCTCTACTAAGTATCTATGTTTTTTGCGTATCCCTACAATTCCATCACACTGGGACGGTGAGACGGCGAATATAATATAATGTAACATTAACACAATTTTTCGTTTGGTTTGATGCATTTCTCCGTGTCCATTTGTTTTGATATGATAGTTTATCGCGATTTAGATAAAATGCGTGGAAATTCGTGAATTGATAAAGGAAACGGCCGCGTTCATATGGACTATTATTCTAATACAGTGGTTAATGAGTGGAATTTTGACCGACGACCAGACATTGACTTGATTTGACTGATATTTTTTTCTTTACTTATCGATCCCCACGATTCGATACAAATGAACTTTTGTCGGTACGATTTTTTTTTTATGACTTCGCAGAGCTCCTCTACTTTAATTTTCCCGATTAGAATGAAACTGAATAAAACTACAAATGAACAAATTCAAAAATTAATTAAATAATTGATTTAATACATACCTAATTAACATCATTCAACGTATTATAGTTGTTTACGTAATAAAATAGATAATAAAATAGAGCTCGGCAGTCGGTTTTCTATATTTTTCGGATGAGCAGACCCGTGTAGCGTGTAATTATTGTATTCAACTGTCGAATCAAATACAATTACCGACATTCTTATCATTTTTCATGCATTGAAATCAATTTGTATTAAAGTTAAATTGCTCAGATCTGTTGACGCATTGTACACTTTTGGATTGAAATATTTGTATTATCTTTGAAATCGAAATAACCTATAAACTAGCTGCGTCAGACAAATTACCGAAATGCTTTTACTCTTACGGTTTTTAGTTGCTGTGGTTTATGTTTCGACAGCCACATTTTTTTATGCCGCGATCATTAAACCAAAACCCTTTTTTTTTTTGATTAAATGCATTTAGACATAGGCTTTTTTTTTTCAAAACGGGACACATGGGTCAAAAACTAGGACCACCGTAAGCGGGACTCACGTTCACGTTATCGTCACTACATTTTGATACGTCATAAATATGAAATTCTAAATGTAGTGGTTAACACAATTTAATTTTATTCTATAAGGTACTCGCCTTGTGTTTATTAGCATACGTTCCTAGGGAGTGAGGTAATGATATTCGTATGAACACGAGCGCGCATTTATAAAATAAAATTGTCTACTTTATACCTACTTAAAAAATTAATTTTAAAATATTTTAATTTTAATTTTAATATTGTAGAAAACGATGTTTCATGCTTTTGCATATTTTATTTTGATAATATAGTGTAAATTACTTTTTCTTTTTTTTTTAAATAAATGTAAGTACTTACTTATAAGCTTTACAAACAATGGCTCTATAATATTCGTACTATTACTTTTTATCTACTTCGTTGATATTATTATTTCATGAGTAGGTCATTAATATGTAAAATCATAAATAAATGTAAGCGGAAAAAATTGCCAACATTATTTTAATTTATGTTTATTAAAATATTTATGTATTTTTTTTTTAGATTCTGAGCGGAGCGAGGCATATATTGGTTTTACAGTAATGTTTTTTTTTCTACGGTCAACTTTTCTACCAGCAAATTTGTGCCGATTTTTCGGCGAAGCATTTTTTTCTGGTAGGAATTCTGACTAGGATGGTCATTTATGTTATTTTCAAAGGATTTTTCTCGATAAATGGAAAAACCCGGGAAGAAACTTAGGAAAAACGATAAATTGTACGAAATGTTTAATTTTAAAATCGTAAATATTGAGGCTTTTTAAAACACGCATAAACGAACTCTGCTCAGAATCGTTTTTCACCGCGTTAAACTCCCCTCTATATTATACCTTCACAACAGTGGCCCACCCATCGTACAAAAAATGTCTGTATTTTTTTTCGTTCAAGGTATTTTGAATTGTTTGTTTTTTTTTTTTTTTTTTATTCGAATTGAAATCGATAAAGTAATATAATTATTGCCACGAGAAATAAAATATTTTACGTAGAATTTTCCGTGACATATTTTCACCGCTCGAAATATTGAAATATCCATTTTTTTTTTTTTCATCACAAAATATTTGTTTATTTGTCCGGTCGTGTATTATGATTTATAAAGCCGCGTAATACCGACCGATGTTTTAGTAACTAATTCTCATTAAACATTAAATATCATATTTTTTATTCGAATTGAGTTTGTGCCGTACCAAACAAATATCCGTAGCGTCAGAAATTAAAACCGATATTGTTAAATGTATGAAAAGTTTTCAATTTGTTCTGATCAATTTTCAAAATGTATCGAGCCAGACAGTACATCAAGTAGATGCCTATCGTAGCTGTTGCTCGAGTTTTAAATTTAATGATGGATTTTGTTTTTGATTTTTATCGAAATGAAATATAACATGCAATTTGTATGAAATATTCCAAACTATTAGTTTCGTGCAATTTAATAACGCTGATATAATAATGTTAAAATAAGATTATTTTTTGATTCATCAACTTTTAGTTTTTATTATAAATAAAATAATATAACTACGTTTTCATTTTCTGCGATTTTAAGTGATTTATTTTTAATCAGTGGATAAAACTGTTCTAACGACAAAACAGAAACGCTTGAAAATTGAACAGGAGGTTCTTTATTAGTCGTACTTAGTGGTAAAAAAAAAAAATAACAAGACAGACCTATTTCGCACTTCGGTGTAGCCACTGTTGTAAGTGAGAAGTTGGGATGGTAGGATGGTTGATAACGAAAACACGATTCTGAGCAGAGTTCATTTCATAATGTTGCTTTCTGAACAATAAATATTATGTCATATTGAGGTAAAATTTTTACAGCAATATGCGTTTCCATGAAAACAACACTAATTGTTTAAAAAAAATTTAAATTTAAAATGATAAAAAAAAAATTAAATCAAAAATTAAATAAAAAGATTGCTAAACCTTATTTTTAATCTTTTTTAACCTAAAACCAAGTTTCCTTATCATCTTGAATATTAATGAGAATTTCAAAAATGATTTCTTTAAAGAACCACCCAGAGAACTTTCACTTTTAGAAAATTTGCTATACTTGATATGTGTATTATTTACTGTAAATTATTTATTGTACTTACTTGTGTAAGCTTTCTGGTAGAAAAAGTGTTCACATAAAAAATATACATTATTGTAAAGCCAATACATTCTTCGCTAAACTCAGAATCTAAAGTTGAATGTAATGTAGTATTTTAAGTTTTATTAGAGTTTGTATATCAAATTTTGATGAAAATCATAAATATTACAGCTTTTCAAAACATGTATAACCGAACTTTGCATTGAATTGTTTTTCCTTAGAAATGATTCATCGTTGTTTACTGATATAAATTAAGTATTTTTATGTAACTTAAGTGCTTAACTTCCCGCTTACAACAGAGACACGCCCGTCGCCAGTATTAGCTATTTTTTTCTCGAAAAAGTCGATATTTTTATCTGCGATTATTATAGTGAGTGTTATATACATGTATAGTTTCTATCACTAATTTTTTTTTCCGTATAATAATAAAAAAACCATAGATTGCCCTTAAAAATAATAATACTAATAACAATTATTAGTTAGGAATCCAGGATATATAAAAAAAAAATTTTGTTTTGTTTTAAAAAAAATGAAAGAAGACGAGTAAAATTTAGTCGTTGGTGAACACCGAATTATTTATTTTCCGTCACGTTGTAGTAACCCCGGAAAATCAATAAAGTGCTCACACCCTTATACTATGGAAATTCAAATTTAAAAATCGGTCCCTGTCAGTTTTGTTGCATTTTAATGTGGGACCATTATACCAAAATCTTTGTAGTTATATGATTACGGCGGATAGAAGTCACGGAATCACTGCTAAAGGCTAATTTTAGATAGTGAGCGCAGCCAGGCATTTATTAGTTAGGATAAAATGGGTTTTCTTTTCCTGTAAAAACTTTTCTAATGAATGTATTGTTTAATTTGTCAAGTGTAGTATCTTTTCTGAAAGAAAAGGTTGTGTAGTTGATGTACTAATGAGGTAATTTTCCTAACAATTGACGAATACCTGGAAAAAAACGTAAACAAATTGTTTAAATTCGGATAGAAATAATCTTAAGAATTTCAAATGTGGACAGACGTAGACAATTTTCACAAAAAATTTGAAAATTGTTAAGCTATTTATTGGCCTTTTTACATTTTTAAGGTTTTTTAGTTTTTATTTGGTTTCATATGGATATAAGACTTCTTTAACCCAAACAGCCATTTTTCAAAACTCGACATGAGATTCACCGTAAGTATTTTTTATCATACAAAAAAAAAAGCGTTCGAAATAACCTGTATCCTGCGTACAATATAAAAATGTACACCTGAGAGGATACAAGCGGTGTAGCGTATCCCAAAGAGTAGCGCTACGCAGTTTCGAGAACACCGGTTGATATTTCTCCTTGTTAATTAGCAATCTGTATACAGGGTGTTCCAAAATATATGTTCATTGCGATATCTTTTGAAATATTAACTATTTCCGTAATTTTTTTTTTTTACAGTTTACGAATCAATTAGCTGTGAAATTTTATACCACCATTTTTTTTTATAACCTTTATTTTCCAGATTGAACGTTTTTTATTTTTACCATAAATTCCATAAATACACGGAATATTTTTTTAACTCCATTTTGGTTTTCTATCATCCCATTGACGAGATATTCGACTTTTAAGTTTAGGTAGTGGGAGAGTAGCGGAGCAATGTTTAAACGTTGAGCGCTGTGCCGCCGCGAAAATGATGATCCCATACCGTCCCTCTACCCGAACTTAAGAGTAGAATTATTAAAGGTAATGTAAAATTGTAGAGCTGCTTATGTCCTAAATTGTAAAATAAAATTCTGAATAAAAAAGGTAATTACCGCGATATCTTAATGATTATAATTTCGTGAAACACCCTGACAAGAGCCGAGATCGGATAAACCTCAGAATTTCCGCTTAGGATATAGATGGGAATACATGTATAAATGTAAGTAACGATAAACCATTGCTAAAGAAAAAATGATTCTAAGAGGTCGATAGTGTTGTTTTATATGTCATTGTGATAAAATTATTACAACAATATGCGTGTCCATGATAACAACAATTGTTTAAAAAATATTTTAACAGAATAAAACTTAAAAATAACAAAAAATAAATAAAAAAGTTTGCTAATGACAACATTATTTTTAATCCTTTAACCATATTTAGCCTAAAGAAACAGGATTTTCACATTATCTCGGATATTAATGAGAATTCCAAAAACCGACCCTTTTAAAGTACTACTCAGAGAACCTTTTCGTTTCAGAAAAGGTGTTATACTTGATAATCGAAGTATACGCTTTCTGGTGGAAAAAATATTTACATAAAAAAAAAAAAAAAAATAATAACAAACATCTTTGTAAAACCAATAGATTCTTCGTTGAACTCAAAATCTAAAAACGTTATAGTACGTTTAATATTGCGTATTATTATACTACAACAGTACTCGCTATCCTCGGTAATAATACCGAACCGGAACCGGCTACGGTTCCGCCCGAATGAGGCCGGCCGCTACTGTATGTACAAAAGCCAGGAACGTGATGTTTCGCCCGTATGCCGAAGGCGTTTTCCTCCGAACATTTCTGGGGTTCACCCGATTTCGCGGCCTTTGTCCGTAACATACGCGCGACCGAAACAAGTATCGGGCGTCCGTTCTCTCATGGCACGGAACGCAGACGCGTTTTTCGAATACGGACTTCACGCACGCATATCCGCCTTCCCCGGGCTCTAAAACGTGTTATACAGGTACGTCGTACGCGTACTGCGCATCGTAAACGAATCGATAATATTATTAGTCATTTCGCAGTTTTTCGCGTTTCGCGGTACGGCGGTCGTAACGTACTCGCGGTCGGTACCGACGACGGAACTCGCGCGCCGCAAAATACGGTCGTTTATCTGATTGCAGAGTTCAGGGCGGAAACAAAAGGATAATATCCAATGCCCCCGGACATAACGATCGTCGACGGTTTTTACGGGACTAATTAAATCCAGTGTAGGAACATACACAACAACAGCGCACTCCCCGCATGACGCGAAACACCCGAGTGGGTGCGAGAGCGACGGCAACAATTCTGATTTTGACAACTATGTTGTTTTTTTTTTTTTTTTGTCCGCGTACCGTCACGGAGAACCCAAAGTACGACTAAAATTATTACGTACAAGGTCCGAATTTATACGCGAGGCCCCCTTTTCGCGTGTCTACCTAGGTTAACAATCGCAGTTATACTCTGCGTGACGTGCACCCGAAACCCGGACGAAGTATCGTCACGTTACCTGTCGATGCCGGTTTTTCGTTTTTTTTAAATTAATTTTTCAGAAAGACTTTTGCGAATCTAGAAAAACGTTCATAGTTTTAGTAAAACTGATACGAAATAATATAACTTTTTCGTTACACTCGGTGCCCGAGACAAAATAAATTGTATTCCGAAAAATAAAAAAAAATAAAAAAATAGTCCTATAAAACGGATAGGTACTATAATACAATAAATGGATGATTTAAAAGGTCAACGTCTAGAGTGGCAATTTGAAAGATAAATATCATTAGACAATTTATCGTGACCGTAACTCAAACGGATCACCCGAAAACCGTCCCCCTCCTCGCAAAGATATAACAAATCATATACAATATTATCGACATTGATTTACCAACCGAACGCGAAAAAAAAAAATTCATTTTTCCCCCCAACCGATACACCGTCCGTTTAGTTTTCGATTCCTTCACGGTAACGTCGTAAATATATACGCATACATCACGTTATATTGTAACGGTATAACATGACTAAGGACGTAACCTGTTAAGGTAAGCAGGCGAAAAAAAAAAAAGGATTATGTAGGTATTACTCTCCGACGGTTGCTACCGATATTTTCCCCTCTAATCCTTACGGGACGTCATCGTGAATCCATTATTATTATTATTATTATTATTATTATCGCATGACCTTTATCGAATGCAATATAATTACAATTTACCACTACTACTAGTTGACAGACGAATTAGAACAAGCGCAAAAATAACTTCATAGAAAAAAACAATATAGAATAAATTATAAATATAAATGAATACAATGAGGTAGCAGCTGATACGCGTTTTTCTTGGGTACTGGATGGCGCTAGACGTCGACGTCATAGCTATTGTATTGCCTTGTCCGTTTGCTGCGCGTGTCTTAATTCAGGGTCCGTGAAATTTCATCTATGCGCCACTCACACACTATGCGTGTTCCACCGTTCGCTTGTCAACACCACAATGCATTTAGGGTTCGCGTTGATTTGCCATATACGTAATAAATAATTACACCGACGGCGTTGGCCGGTGAGTATACGATTCAGCCGGGTCCGCAGTCTTCGGGGAGGTCCGACCCCGGCGATTTACCGTATGCACAATTCGCCAAGAATCCATTAGTCGGGGCGCAGGCCCGGAAAAAGGGGGGGCAGAGGGGGCCGTGTCTCCGGAGTTCGCGAGGAACAGGGGCACACAAAGGGCATATTATGAGTTGAATCAAATATTTGATGAATTTTTTTTTCGGCCTATGAGTTCCATTTTAATAGAATAAGTCTTCTCGTTAATATGGGCCCCCGGGCCCCCGCAGCCCGTAATTCGGGCCCGTTAGGATGCTAGTTTTCCATTCTTCTTTCCGTGGATCCGGCTGACGACATCCACGAGCCTGTGTTGATCCTACCCTAGCGGGTAAAGGATGACGGGACTTGAATCTCGGTGTCATGACCACAATCTCGTTGATTAGTTAACGCCGGATTCGTTTGTATTGCAACACAGCGTTCTGCCGGCGGATACGCGGCGTTCGATATTGGCCGAAACCGGTCACTACTGTAGTTACGTAGACCCGACGAGTAGTTATGCAAAGACTACTCCGCAATATCGTATCTAATAATCTACACTGCGGCAGCTGAGTACTGCGGTCTGAAAAGGAAGTATCCGCTGTACGTCGTTTATCCACATAATATTTTTTATTTTTATTGTAATGCGTATTGCCGTTTCGATATTCACCGTTAACACACATTTTGACGGGCGCTTTCGGTTTTAGTTTTATTGTGATATTTAATATAACCAGAGTTTATGTGTTTGCATGTCCGTCCCCATCTAAATGAAATGTCTTACACATATCAACGCGTATACGAATACGGCAATAATAAGTAAGTATATCAAACGACGACGACGTATTTTATACGAGTCTATTTACGTTACCGTAATATATTTTTACAGTATTGTGTGGCCGTAAAATTTTATTTTCGTGTTTTATGCGCTTTTTAAGTATTAAAAAAGCCGGACATCCTTCACGCCGTGGGTAGGCGTAAAGTCGTAGACGGGAGGTGGATAAAGACGCAGGGCGATTTTAGTATTATACATACCGAAAACTGCAGTAAATTATTGCGATCGAAAAATAATTCTGAGCTGAGCTCGGTAAACGTATAAGTTTATAGTTTAAGTTGTGCTTCTTTCCCGTGCAACCAAAGTAAATCAACAGATAATAATAATCAACAACAGTACAACCATCGTACAGACTCGTTTTTTATTTTTAAATATTTAAAAAAAGTCGTTGGGAATCTAGAATAATTTTCGAAATAAAGTAAGTACTAACAGACAAAAGCATTTGCAATAACCAAACATGAAACAAGTGTTTCCGAGGAAAATAAAACGCGCCTTAGCAAAACTAAGTTTTAGTCTCAGCTTTTTTACAGCTAAATTGAGAATCAAAAAAAAATATCAACAAGTGAAAATTACTATACTTAAATCATTATTGATTTTTCTTGTTGGAAAATGATTAACAACAGTAGATACGAATAAGTAAAATACTATACGTTTGAAATGTAATTTCTAATTATGTACGGAATCGAATAAAAGAAGTTCAAAGAAGGTGTGGAATATATTAAAGTGTTATGTAATCCAGGCATAAATATTTTATTGTCTCGGCATTTCTTTTACGAGGGGTTTTTTCGCGTAGATATAATAAAGATTACGGAATTATAGTAAAGCACTGACTAAGCATAATAATGCGCAAAAAGAATAAATTAAAAAATAATTACTGAAAAAGAGTGAAAATATACAGTTTACTAAAAATTTTTTTTTTTTTATACGAATCATTTTAATCCATACATATATTTTGTAAAATATAAATATTGTGATTAAATAATAATACCTCTATTGACTGTTATAAAAACATCATTCACGCGTGGAGACTTACTGAATGCATGATTATGCAAATATTTTAATTTCTTTTTTTTTATCCGTCGAATAAAATCTTTTCAAAAAATGTACGTTTTTACATTGGTTTTCGGAACAATCATTAAAAAAACTACAAAATTTAACGTGAACAATTTGATGAGTGAACAGATGTATAAAGAGAGTTTGGATTCGGATGTTCATAGATACTTCGGTGAAAACCGATTTCAAAAATGGCGGTTTATTCATTAAAAATAACGGCGTAAATTATTACTACAGATATATTATAGGAATAGATTTTGAGAGCGGTTTGTCGGTTGATTCAGTCGAATTATATACACGGACATGAGACAATAAACTCCGTTTACCCAGCACCAATTCCCTCCAACCCTAGTTCTTGTACCGTTCTTGACCACTGTCGTATTTGATTCCGAAAACCGAACCTAAACAGTGTTATGTGCGTACATTCGTCGTACGAATTGATGAGGGGACGAGGGTGTTACACGCCCCGAACCATTTGTTCTCTTATACACAGTATTTAATTTATATTTTATGAGTTTCCTGTAGTTATTATCGTTTTGTTTGGTTGTTGTTCGGTGACAATATTCCGCAATCGTATACACCGTTCACTATTAGTAATAATAGTCGGTTATTATAAACTCTACATTGTCACGGCCAAAGACCGGATTTGCAGGCACTAATAATAATTATAAATATTCGCTTATGGAGGTAAAAAATGTGAAATATGCGGTATGAAATTGAACGAAACGAATCAAACCATAATTTAATTTAATAGTTTTAAACGAAGAACATTCGGAATTATTGCAATTTTAACAACACGATTTACAGCGTGAATCGAAAGAGCAGGTAAATATATCGATACACGAGTCAAACACACGCATACTTGTCACCGATAATTTTTCAACTAACGATATTATCTTTGCCGTCCGTAGTGTTCCCGAATAAATTATGAACCAAATACGTAATGAAGACAGACATACCTATTCCGATGTAGAAAATCCATAAGCGCAATAGATAAGATAAAATAACATGCGGGTAAGTTTGGTACCTCCTGCATTTCTGCATTACCCGACGAATACACGTTGATAATCTAAGATCGGTAATACCAAACAATACAATCGAAAGGCCTAAAGTTTAAATTAAATATAGATTTTTAATTTTTTAACGATCAAATGACATTGCATACATACAGTATAGGCCAGCGGTTCCCAACATTTTTTAAATAAATACCCCGTTGTAAATTTTCAAAAATCTCACACGCCCCTTCCACTTAAATTGAATCTAAATTCTCCCCGGGGGGAATTCCTCCCGGTCAGGAATCACTGATATTGGGCAAACATATTTAAAAAAAAACAAAATAAAAAGGACGAAATAATTTCACTTACGCGTTCAAGGTAATATTTATTAATTACATTGTATTTTTGTTTTGGTAATTTTTCATAATTATGCCTATATTATTTAACTATTTTAAATATACCTGTATATCTCTTTGATGTATTATCTTAGATGTTTTTTATTTTTCATAAATACAATCGCAATGGCCGTCGTAATCTATAACGCGAATTTATTTTATTCATAAATAAAATACAATTTTAATCTTTATGTACAACTAAAATATTAATATCTAATTAAATTAAATAAAAATTAATACGAAATGGTTGGGATCGACATAAAAACATGACAAAAAGCGTCTCGAAAGGAGTTCGTCGGGACAACGCGATACAAAGCCGAAAAAAAGGACACACTCCTGACTAAAACAGGAAATATGGTCACCCTAATCTAATATCCAAAAAGATCTATTTAAATTAAGAATATCCACCGACGCTCAAAATACACAGAAAATATACAATGTATTATACAATTTCGATATTACATCGATCAAGTAACAATTTACGAAAGCGCATTGACCGCGTATTTAACTATAGAAAATAGAAACGTACATTCTATGCAAATTCTAGTCTGTAATTATGACGTATCATGAGGTATTCTATTATTCCGTAATACCCTATGTGTTGTTTAAAGGAAAAATATACCGTAACGAATATATTAAACACGACTCCGGGTAGAAATATTGTGAGTATACTCGGTTGTTACGGTTTTTCAACATTATTTGTACGGTAATTGAATTACCTTGGCAGTTAAAAAAATACTGATCTTCTACTTCGAATTTAATTTCCCATATTATTATGAATATAGATGTTTGAAACACAGAGATAAAATACATATTTATACTATGATCCCTCCAACAAACGTTAATCACTAGAGGGCGAAAAAAAATAATAATAATAATAATAATCATAATAAATAAAATGAAAAGCAACTCGGTTTTGTGAACCTTTATTGTTTACTCGGGATCCGAGTATTTACGTTAATAATATAATTGGTTAGGCGTCCTTTAACGGGAGCCTGATTAATAACGACTTGTCAACCGAGAATCTATACATTGTAATACATTATGTCCAATTTGTTTATTCACAAAGACGTACGAAACTGGAATCTAGGACCCTAGATTCTGATTCGAAGCGACACGGCTGTGTCTTTTGTGATGTGTTAACTTTAGTAAAAGTATATGGATGCATACAAATCGCTAAAGAGTATACCGGGGTAAATGACATCCTACGAGTCTTTGAAAACGCGTATGGGTACGGTAACTTAATTTTGCATATACGTATCCATTAAGAATTTAGATAGCTATTCGACGAGAGATAATACTCTTAAACATATATTATGATAAACAGCGCATACCGAACACGTTTTCTTGATATACGGAGTGAATTTTCATCATAAACCGGCGATTATCTCGGATGATTTTAAGTGAATTCGATTTATGGTTTCTTTTTGTACATGCTCAAGGTGCGTGGAGTAAGGGTGAAAATTGTAAAATGGCTTTAAAATATAACTTAAACGATTCCACAGTGATCGAAAATAAACTAGAAATCAAATTCACTTAAAATCCTCCGAGAAAATTACTGGTTCGTGATAAAAAAAAATCACCCTGTACATAATTTATCTACCAGCTCTCAAGGCCTAATAACTATTATTTTTTTTTTTTATTTTCATAATAACACAAGCTTTGTTGAAGCCATTTAAAACTTCATTAGCATAACAATTATGTTGAGATTATTAAAATAATATCAGACGGTCATATATGTAAGTAATAAGTAAAATAAACACTTTTCAGAAACCGGTATTTTTATTTTGAAAATATAGTCCCGAATTCCGAGTCAAACATTTGTAGATCGTTTAGATTATCGTAAATAATTTCCAAGCGTTCTATACCTAAAATTATTAAATAAACCAACTTCCATTGAGAATCGTATTTTGTTTTCGATGATTAATCGTTATGCGTTCAGGGTTCGTACTGAAAAACTATAATTTATCCCATTTGACTTTTCAACGTATCGCCTACGACTCGTCAACAGTATCGCCTGCGATTCATCAACAGTATCGGCGGTATGTTTTGCGAATTGCCTCGGCCAATTAACGATGATGTTTTATTTGTCGAATTAAATTAAATTATAATTTCTGAACGCAGTAGTGTTCCGGACGTTCTTAATTTGTAATGTATCATTTTACGAAATGGAAGACATAGTGTCCGGGTTTTCCGTTACTTTTGTTTGAAGAACGCGGAAATTTCGCATGGCGGTAGGTAGGGAACGAGCGCGCTGAGGAGTTTTCTCGGCGTCACATCTTCAGGGAATCCGGCGGGTAGCTTTTGAAACACAATACACACAAGGCGAATATGGTCCCGTTTGATTGCTGTAGCGTGAATACCTTTGAAGATAATAACTTATCAACGCGTCAATATTCAAAAAAAATATATCAAAGGATTAGTGCATAAATACACTTTACAATAGAAATAGAAAAAAAAAAAAAAAAAGGATTTTTTTTTTACCCCGAATACAGTCGGTTAAACTACGCGGTTAAATTAAATAATACGGTTTAGTCGTTTGACATTTTTTTTTATTTCCATTATATTTGTGAAAGATATAATAACATAATAATATACAAATTTTCTTGAGAACAAAAAGATATTATGTATAGTGTAAGTATACCCCTGCATACCTCGCTAATGCAATTTTAAACTAATTGTATTTTTATTTACGTCGGTGACGAACAATATTTTAATTAATTTTAATTAATAACACCGAGAATAACAGGTTTAAAAATTAATGGAACAAAATAAAAAGCAACGATGGTTTTGTAATATATACCGTCGTGTAATAGTCGGGCCTCTCCCCCTCCCATTCCCCACACACACACATACACACACACACACACACACTTTTTTTTAACAATTATAGTTATGCGTCTGTCCATCCCGACTATAGATAGAGAAATAATACAAATTATATTCTGTTATTCTTCTCTTGGCGTACCATACTATTACTAACCAGCCCCTAAGAGTTTTGGTCGTCATTTTGAATATCACTTTGTCTTGTCCTTCTGGTTTGTTCCCACATTCAGATATCCTTCTGATCCGGTTATTCATATTTTTCTGCGCCTGCCACGTGGGCACGCGGCATTTTCCCCAGAGCTGTCCAACCAAATGTTGATTTTATAGTGGATCATTTTATTTACGATTTATAATACGACCTAATAACTCTAAATTATGTGACCCTTAATAGTCGCCGATCCAACGGCCATCGATTTCTGCAGCTTCTTGTTATGTCTCCTTCTTAAATTCCTTATGTCTGCATCGAGTACTAGTCTAAAAACTTTCCTACAGACTTTGCTTTTCAATGTCCCCATCTACATTTCTGGTATACGTGTCGTCGTCCAGGCCTCAAACCATTACGTTAAATTTGGATTTATTATAACACCGTACACAAAATATAAACTAAAAACTCAAACTTCATGCTAACTGGTGAGTTACCATTGTTAGTGGGAAGTTAGAAATGTATATAATATCGCAAAAGCAAAACTGATTTAGCAGAGTAAAATTCAGTTAAACATGTTTCGCTAAATTAATAATGAATATTTATAAACATGTTTTAACCAATTAACAAGTTGTTGATAGTCACAAAAAAAAAAAAAAAAAAAACTCAAATTTTCTGATGGCATTGTCTTTTGTGCAAAACATGAAAAAGACCTGCAAAACATTCTACTTAATGTGAATAAAATACTATGGGATAAATATGGAATGCAACTAAACAAAAAAAGAAAACCAAAATAATGGCGTGCAGCAAATCAAATTCTTTTCGATTTAACGTAAAAATACGTACATATAGAACGAGTACAACAATTTAATTACCTGGAAAATAAAATAGCTGAGCTGGCCGTAGTAAAGTTGACATTCTTTGCAGAATAGCACAAGCAACGGGGGCTTTCCATAATAAAAAAAAAAAAAAAACCTATTGACCAAAAATTGTACGACATTATTGGAAAAAGTTTCTGAAAATATATCTGTGGCGTGTTGCCCCATATGGTTGTGAAACTTGGAAAAAAAAGTTCAGTAGAGAGAAGTTAACTAAAGGCTTTTAAAATGCGGTGTTATCGCAAGATGCTTAAGATTAAATGGGCTGGAAGAATAACAAACGAAGCGGTATTAAGTAGAATAGAGGAAAAACGAGAATCGTGGCGCAGTATTAAAGTTAGAAGGGACAAAATGATAGGACATTTACCATACGTCATGAGAGTTTAACGGAAAGTTGTATAAAATGCGTCGTAAAAGGCCGTATTGGAAGAAGAAGGTCAAGGATGGAATACGTGAAATAAATCACGACAGACATCGAAAATAATAGCTACAAAGTGTTAAAGGGATTACGTTACAAACGGGAAACATGAAAAACTGCGTCGAACATCAACGACTAATACCAAAACGTGTTTAACCACTAGACTACATGTTACTTGAGGAATGATATCATTGCACGGGTATGTAAGTTATCAAGTCATTTTCACGGTGTCAAAATAGGTTACACTGACCCGCTCTTGGGTTACCGTACCAAGTGTAAAAAAAAAAAAAAAAATAGGTCAACCGAATATTAACTTATAGTTATTATGCCTAAGATAATAATGATTATACACTACACAGTGCGTAAGACAAATGTATCATATTTTAATTTATCGGTTTAAATGTTAGTCCGTATACGTTAGCAGCGTGAGTGGGAACACACGTTACTCTAATGATATGTTATTTTTTTTTTTCGATTTTCTGAGTTTTTTAACCGTCGCAGAGAACGCATTGCACACTTATCCGATAGTATAACGATTCACGGTGGATAGGAAAAGAGAGAGGTAAATCCACGACCGATCACGAGACATTACACTGTTGTTACAACGCGTAATTATATTTGCTGTACTCGTTGGGCTATTAAAACGTTTAAATATGCGGTAACAATGAAATACAACAAACATTCCTATAACAAACGACTATAATCGTAAGTTCATAATTACTATATACATGATTATAGTTATTGTACCTAATCAATAAAGTTTTATTTACTATACTTTGTTCAACTATAATTTTTTAGAAATTTCTTTTGTCCGTGTGACCTGAAAAAAATGTTATTAACGTGTATCGAAAAAAAAACTTGACAATTTCAACAAAGAAAAATCCGGAATGTTTTGAAAATTAAACCAAGTCAACTGAATTACAACAATAAAAAAAAAAAACAAATCGATTTTGACAAAAACCGACAGCGTTGTGTTAGTATATAATATTCCCGTTTTTCTGACGGTTTTTTCTTCCGGTTTCTTCTTTTGTGCGGAAAACTATACAATGCACCGTCTAGAAACGAAATTCTACATTAAACGTCCAATGAATTCGTTGATCGGCGCAATACCGTCTTCTAGTCGAAAAAGCTTTTTTTTTTTAAACACTCGTCCTATCAAAACCGATACATTCTCAGCCCTCGCCCGTGTGTATCTAAAAACAATACCGCTGTTGATTTTATAAATATTGTATTATTTATCCAGCCAAACTCTCATCTACACATGTGATGTAATTTCCTTCGGCGTGTATTGTATTTTATTGACGTAAAACTAAATAATAATTTTACCGATATTTCGGACCGGTCTTACAAGGATAGTATCACGCAGATATTTTAAATACAGTGTTTAAAACACCGCATACGATGTTCAGACGACGAATTGTAATTTATATTGACTCGTACGTATTGAATTCGTTTAAGAAATGAAACGCAATATATTACATTGGTTGTATTTCATTCAAAAGTTATAAATTACTTATATAGACACGGGCTAGAAACTTTACATCCTCATGGAGTGTGCTTTTCCTTACTTGTTTATGTTTGATCTATTATACTCCTCGTACACAACAATAAATATAGTTTCTCGGACTCGGGACGAAGTAAAGAAACTGTTGTTATAAAAGTAGCGACATGTGTCGTATTATACATATTATCCTTATTTTTTTTTATTTTTTTTTTTTGTCTTTTCAAAACACTTTCATAATTTTTTTTTTTTTTTTGTGTGTGTGTTTTGTTGATTTCTTTTCAAAAAATAAAAATCATTAAAAAACATAAGTATTATTTTCTCAGAGCAAACACACTTACGCACATTCATATAAACATATACACGTTGAAACTCCGTATTGTTTAATTTTTTTCGCGCAGGGACTGTTATTTTTTTAACAATAAAAAAATAATAATAATAATAATACTCTGGCAGTAATCAAATATAGTTTGCTCTAAGACCTTAATTTTTTAGAAAATGTCAACGAGCGTGCGAGGAAAGTAAAACAAATTATTATCCGTGTTGAGGCCTATCATTTATAGCCACACATTTAGTTATATTTTAACTTAATCGGACGTAAATGTCGTTTGATTAAACTATCTGTATTGTTTTAATTATAAGCACGTGAACTTTTTAAAAATATCGTTTTGACATTGCAAGGTTCCGAAAATAATGTTTCGACGAAAAAACCCGTACAGAATAAAACCGAACATACGCTATTTGACCGTTCTTGAGCGGCAGAATTATTCACCTGGTACAGTGCCGCAATGAGCAATGCGAGAGGGAAATATAGGCGAAACCAACGGCTAAACAACCGGACCTCCTTTTGGCAAATTAAACCTTTCGCACAACGGGAGTTGTCCTTGATCGGCTCTTTGACGTACGCACACGTCAACCCGGAGCGACGTTTATACCGAACGTGAAAATCCCGGGACCGTTTTATACTTGTTATTTTATCTCTTTGTATACGAAGCGACTTGTTACTGTATTACTAGGAAATACCGTGGGTGTTACGCCCGTTCGTCCCCGCGTAAAGACGTATTCGAATTTTTCAATAAATCACGGCAATAGTGGGGTGATTTAGAAATGTTTTTTTTTTAGAAATGTCCCGACGGTCGGCTTGATAGTCAACTACTCGTGTTTCCTTTTAATTTTTTATTTTATACAAAAAAAAACTTATTTCGGTTCAAAACGCATTATTATTAGATAGGTGTGTTTAAATTCGGTGTATCCAACGGCGGTGTAAGGCGATCGTTACCAAACAGCATTATTACTCGTCGCACAAAACGCATTCACCAATATAATACACGCGCAATTCATACAATTTATACCGTATATCATTATACTTACCATCGTAATAATACTTGCTTTGTTAGATTATTGTGAGTCAATATTCGGTTTGTGTAATTTAAATTTCCCACGAGACTTCGACGGCGGTAACCGATGAAATCGATTTATTATTATGATTTAATTTACGAACGCGCGTTACGCATAATAATATGTACAGTCTAATATTAAATGTAAATACGCAATTTGACCTACATGCTACAAGTACGCAAAACATCCGAAAAATCCGGGAGAATATTTTCGAGTCCGCTGGTCTTTATTGGGCACGTGTTGTATTTTGTTTAGACTCCGAGCGTAGCGTTCTAAACAACCCTCGGACTGTATTGGTTTTGGCGTGATACATATTTTTTTTATCTGTCAATTATTTATCTACCAGAAATCCTATTCCAATAGAAAACCGAGAAAAGAGCTTTTTTTTTTTTTTAGAACAAATGTGTGCATTGAGGTGGGATGGTTTTTATTATTTCCCGCGTAGTTATATCGTCAGTGTTGCAAGGGAACAAAACACGGATGTACTTCGCACGATGGGTGTGCTACAGTTATAGGTGAGAAGTGGGAACGGTGGGAAATATAAAGGGGAATTTAATTTTTATATTTTTACAAAAAAAAAAATTTTAAAACCAATACATTTTCTCCGTTCCACTCTAGAATCGTAAATATAAATTTGCATTGTGTAAAGTGCGTAACAACCGAATAAAATCAAATTAAGGTAATAAATCAATGCGATTGGCCAGTACGCTGATACACGCTTATCGAATTATTTTTAATTTGTATTTAACGTCTAAAAAAAGTTTACCAACCTATGGCGTATTGTTCGTCATAATACGTTTCGATTGTTGCGATGTCGATGACACGTGGCCCGACGACGTCGTCAACGCGCAGTAAAACCCGCAGTAGCGGAAGGGGGGGGGATACGATGACGGACGTGACCACTATTGGAATTTTTTTTTTTTTTTTTTTTTCCCGTATGTTATTTCGTTATTATTTTTTCGTCATTAACGTTGAAACTATTGAACGCACTACGTACGCGCAGTATACAATATAATAGATTCGCGAGCTGTTTTTGTTGTAAAGTCGCCGTCGCACGAATCAATATAATATTATTATATACAGCATAGCGCACTGTACGCGTCCCCTAGTATACCGCCGTGTATACAGCGGGATTATTTTATCTCGATCATTCGGATTTCCCGGAAGATTTTGAGCGAACTCGATTCCTGTGTTTCCCTATCGTATTCACGGAACTATTTATGTTTCGTTTTAACGGTATTTTCGAATTTCCACCCCTAACTCTACCGTTACTCGATGTCTGTTCCACAACAACGTGCATAAATTATAACTGTAATATCTGATTCGCCGCGCGTAAATTCCAAACGGCCCGACGCGTAGTGGACCGGACGAGTATGGCGGACGGTACAGTGTACACGCGTCGTAATAATGGTGTGTAACGGTGTGATGGCTTGTTACGACAACGGGGCCGCCCTGTATACACACCCGCCGTATAAATTGTTTACGGCAGTACAGCGCCACCGACACCGGCATCGGCATCATCAGCCGAACACAATAATAATAGTGTAATAATATGTATAAAATATACAGTGTGTTCCCTGACACTCCGCCGCCGCAACCGCCACTGCCCCGAAAACAACCTGCGCTCGCCGCTACCGCTGCCGGCACTGTTATATTGTTGAATAATTTATTTTCGCGTGCAAGACGGAGATTGTATTTTTATTTTACATTTAAATTATTATTATATTTGATTTGTTTTTGGACAACGGTTTATAGTCGAGGTTTTTTTCCCTTTTTTTTTTCTTTTTTTTCTTAACGCTGTTTCGAAAGTAATTGGTTGCTTTTGGACGAAATCGATTTAGCCACCGCGGCCTGAAGAAAACCACCCCGGGGCACACTGCGCTGCACAAGCTGTGGCGCGGAAACACCCGGTGCGCGTGAGATGTTACCGCTGCCGTGGAGACTTTTTGTCGTCTGATAGAAAAATGCACGTCAAGTAAATAATAACAATCATAAAAAAAACATTTAGAAACGTTCTGGGCAGTTATTTTTTTTTTATTTGCAAAACGAATTTGATTTGCACGGATTCATACGACCGTACGGATTCAACTCTATACCGGATTCGATATAATGTGATCATATGGATCTTCTATATCTACGTAACAAGATCCACCCCCGTAAAATGCGTCTAGAAAAATAGTCAATGTTTAATATTCGTTTGTATACGAAAACGATCGCGGAACATCCGAGAACAAACAAAAACGACTATTTTTGTATTAACACGCGATATACACGGAAATTATTTCCCTACCGAACTGCAGCGTAATGTATCAATGTCCCGCGATATCGAACGAATTTGTATATAGGTAGGCACATAAAGCGTATACAAATTTTTTTAATTTAAATGAAAAACGGAGTACTTAAGTGATGCTGCGCAGGAAAGAAATAAGAAGTATAAATCCTTATCGTGTAATCTGTATAGTAGTATAAACGTATTTTTCTTTCGCGGGTGCTTATGGTACGAATTAAAACGGCATAATATTTTACGTTTAAGTGTACACTGTACCATCTTACCTGTAGAAAAAAATAAAAATAAAAAACAATATAAATGGCCCGATGAAAGGGCTACAACAGCCGAGTTTCAATAAGATTACCTTAACGCAAAAATATATGAAATAAAAAAAAAAAAGTATTTTATAAATCTTAATAAAATAAAGAAGTTCTCTCGTAAATTAAATAGGTAGATAGGTACCTACCATCCTACAACATTTTTAATTTTGACGGTTTTCTTTTTGTTTTTTTTGTTTTTCAAATCTTTCTAGTGTAAACTTTTCCGCGGGTAATATTTTTTTTAAATTATATTATTTTTTTCTTTTCGGTTATTAGACCTGACTTATAAACAGTTGGACAATCACGAACTCGCCGTTGTATTGTAGTCGTATCAGCAGATAAAATAATATTAACAGTACAGTCCTGTGGCCAACCTTTTTATGGTAGAGATCTGTACTAAGAACATCATTTTCGTATTGAGGATTGACTTTCCGTCAAAATTGTATAGTTATTATAAATCACCTAATAGGTATTAATAACAAACATGTACAAATGATTAAATTAAAATGCATAGTTAAAAAAACGTTTATCGTCATACTTGCATTGAGACCGATATAGTATTTTAAATAAAATCCCAAGTATAAACGCTGTTGAATTGTACAATTTGATAAACTGGCAACAAAATAACGATATGTTTAGACAAAAATAATCGGTATTTTATTGCGGTTATCTACCAAAATTATATAAAACCAAATAAAAAATATTGAACACAAATTCAAACGAAAGGAGATCGTCGTTTAAACCGTCGGCGATCTACCGGTCGACCGCAATCGACCGTTTGATTACACCCCAGGTGTAGTAATATATGATTATATTTTATGGATTCGGTAACCCCAAGAGAAAATTCAATGGACTAATATGCGCACAAAACGCATTAATACTAAAATATAAGGTGTACAATTTTTTGAAAAAAAAAAATCAAAACTTGTGTAGATATTCGGATTGATTAAGATAGACGATGCGCATGCCAGATTCATTATTGGTTACACTTTACGGACATTTTTTTTTTTTTTAATTCGACGGAAATATAGGTTCTTAACGCTAATCGGATCGTAATATAATATACGATCGATTGATTAATGTTATGATAAAAAAACAATTTTTTTAAAATAACGCGTAGTAATATTATGATATACACTGTAAAGTTTTAGACACGAGTTTTAATAAAAATATATTTTAATATTTATAATAAATTACGGGGTGAGTAATTTCTCACCCTACGGTCGTGTGTTGAATTTCCGGTTTATGTTAATTTTGTGCAACTACGTTTTTTATTATTTTGTAAAAAAAAGTAATTGTTTGTTTGCAGTGCAATACAATCAATAAACAAATTCGAAAGCATTCATTTACACAATAAAACATGTATGTTGCACTACAAAGCGGGGAATAGAACCGAATCAAAACTTATCGGTTCTGGAATCCAAACGACCCAAACAAAATATTGTGAACCAGAACCACGAATTTATTTATTCCTAGAAATGGAACTAGAAACGTTTAATGAAATAATTGACAGTCGTAACCGAAACCGGAACCGAATTAACAGAAAAGTATGTCGGTGTCCATAGGCGCCCGCAGAAGTTTGTCTTGGAGTAGGGGGGGGGGGTAAATGTTAGAAAACATAATATTATGTTCTACAGTGTTTTTCAAACGATAATAAATTTTTCAATGTTAATTTTTTTTTTTCAATCGGGTTTTTTGTTAAGGGAACACAAATGTAATGAAAAATTTAATTTTTTAAATTCAACCATTAATCACTGAAAAAAAAATAACTTACTTTTTCTTTTTTTAAAAAACATATTATTCTAAATATTTCAATATTCCACACTTATATATTAGATCAATAGTTTCTTAGTTATAGCGGATTTTATATGCAGAAAAATAGACTTGAATACAATTAATATTCAATAGTGGATAAGGAATCACAGTGCCGATTGTGGTTTCATATCGCGTAATGATACCGGGGCTGGAAGCGGCCACTGTTGTGGGCGAGAAGTAATGAATTTAGGATACGTGAGGTTATTTCATTAAAACTATTGCTTG